CAGGGAATTATCAGGACCCCAGGATGATCCCAGCAAGGACAGCCTGGATAAAACTGATACCAGAAACAGCCTAGCATAGACAGTCCTGAGACTAGACACCTGTCACTTTCTGCACCTGCATATGCTTTGACTCTTGAGATTCATGTCCCAGAGAGAAAAAGAGCCAGGCACCTTCGATGACCATGGGCATCAGTCGCACTGCTTGATACGCACAGCAGTAGACAGATAAGTGGGCAGAAAGAAGAGCCAGGGTCGTCATGGATTTGGCCTTCTGAAAAGTAACTTCTTGAATTCCTTGGGTTGGCGAAGGCCAGGAGTTATCTAGGACCAAGGGCAGTGTGAGGAAGCTTTTTGTCTGCCAGTTGCAAGCCCTTCACAGGGCCAGACCCCACCACCAGGGAGGGGGCACATTCTGGGAGATCCTTCACAGTCCCCAAATCTATAACAAACTTATAGCTAACAGAGGTGCTCACATGTTTCATGAACATGGAGTGAGAGTTTAGATGAGCACACTGCCCAAACTCAGATAAAACTATGCTTTATTTTTTAAAAGGATAATAAAATATATTCTATGTTAGCTTTTTCCCAAGAAGTTATATTTACAATTGCCCAACCCAAATGTCTAAATCCATTCTACCTCAGCTCAAAGAAATAACTGTTACAGGCCACAGATATTCTCTGTGCCCAGAGAAAGTGTTTCTAAGTGAGTAAGATACCACACCTCACAGATGGTCTTTTCTCACTCTCAGGTCCTTCACATCTACTGGAGGCCTCAGTCTGTTTTCTCAGGGTTATCACCAGCCTCCCACCCATTTCACACTGATGTTTACTGGAGTCAAAAAAATTGGTCAGATTCCCACGGCAGAGTCCTGGACTAAAACCAAGGTGGAACACAGAACGGGTGGGGGAGGAAGGGACTGCCTCACTGTGCACCAGGCTTTTAGAGTCTGGGGGACCTCAGCAAATTCTTGCCTCCCACTGATACCAACACCCAGTCTGAATGGTTATCAATGGCTGGGCTCTGTCCACAGACACCACCCAAAGATGACTCTAAACAGAAAACTCCTTCCCACCTTTCAAAATACGATGCCTAAGCAAGTGTGGGTGGAGAGATAACTCTGGAAAGACTCATGCTGGGCTGCAAAAGATGTAACAGAATCAAAACACTGGCCCAGATAATCCAACATGGGTGCCTCACTAGTGCTAATGCTAAAGCTGGTGCAAATGCAAATATTAACAAGGTCAGAACACAGACTAGATGTCTTGAGATGGAAGCTAGGCAGAAAACTCTTGAATTTGTTCCCCAAGGTGTCAACATTAAATGCTACATACAGAAATTGAACTGGAAATAATCCTTGTTACTACTTTGTACTCATCACTCCCAACATTTTGTAAATCAGAGACATTGCTAGTCTGAACTCATAAAGAACTCCCCAAACAGAGTAAGACCTTTTGTTTTAGAGATGGACTAGACTGAAATATGGAAGTTTCTAGAGAGGAATCTGTTTACTATAAGGATGACTATGTCACAATCCATTGGGGTTAGCTGACTGCCTTCAGGTTTCATCAAAGGTTGTTTCCACAGACTACTTTATCATCCAACTCTCCAGTTTAGAGCTTTGAACGGTCGTCAGTTGTCCAAAACAAAGACTTCGGTCAGCTACAAGTAGCTAAAAGTCCTGTCTAGTCACTAGTAGCATCCCTAAGACCTTATCTGGACAGGGACAAGCAATGCTTATTGACTCAAATACAGCACTTATCACAGTGAGACACATGTACCCACCCTATTCACAAATGTCAATGTGTGACTGGCCTCACTTTCAGTGCAGATGTTAATTCTGACACAGTCCATCCAGGTTTTGATTTTGTAAGAGGGGGTTTCAAATACATGACTCCCAGGTACTATGCATGGCAGTAGCCCAAGTGAACACTGTCCCTGTGACAACATTAAAATGATGCTAAGTCACAGAAATTTGGCTGGCTAGGATTAAGAGGTGTGGTACCTATTTTTGCAACAACTTCCCACGGGATGGTAAAACCACCTTGTCTTTGGTATTCCTACAGGTATGGAGCCATACAAGCCATGAAGATAGCTATTATTAAATTAAACTATCATTAAATTAGCCTTTTCTGAGTAGTTAATACATTGTCACTAGATGTCCCATAAACATTCTTGACTTCAAAGTTACCTCCTCTTGTATGTTCAAATTTTAATTGTTGATAAACTATTGGCAAAATTTAATTACTGATAAATTAAGCCCTAGTCCCCTACTGGTTTCAGAAGTTTTTAGAGAAGCTCTTATGGTTATTCTCTAAAAAACTAGAAGAAAACAGGAAGAGCATTGGACTAGGAATCAATCATCCTGGGTTTGGGTGTCAAGTCCTGTGAGTCCAGGACGAATGTTGACCCATGAAGTCAGCCACAATGACTGAATTTCCTTACAGTGTTTCAAATACCTGAGCGCCTACTGTGTTCTGACTGTCCTAGGAGCTTATGCTACATTAAAAGCAAGAGAAAAACGCCCCTGTCCCTACAGAGATTGTATCCTGGTTCTCACACCTCTTTGAATTGTTTAACTCTTGCTTTCCACACAGACAGAATCAGAATTTGGGAATGAAATATTTTTGCCAGTGGTCCAGATATATACTACCCAATACAGTAGCCACAAGTGACATGTGGCTGTGGATGGGTGTGTGGTGTCAGATACACACTGGATTATTTCAAGGACTCAGTATGAAGAAAGGAACGTAACATATCTCCTTTATATTTTTATACTAATTACATACTAAACTGGTAATATTTGATATAGCAGATTAAACAGACCTATTATTTAAACGAGTTTTACCTATTTTTTTGCTCTTCAATGTTACCTCTCGTGTCTTTAGGGGACAGTGCTGGTCATGTCTATCGTCTTTATTACAATGAAGAAACCAAAGTCTGAAGAGGTAAAGGGTCTGACAGGACCAGGTGTTCCACACCTAAAAAACAGCTTAAGTGGTGAGAGGAGGTAACTGCAGAGGCTGCAAAGGGCCTGGGCCCAGGACACAGCAGCAGTGACCATTCCCAGCTGAGTCTCCCTGGCGAGCACATCCACACACAGCAGATGCCCAATTAATGTCTGTCTCATCTCCGCTCCTGGATCCTACCCTTCCTATGGTTATTCAACATGAAAGACAGAACTGCCCACAACCACACAGTTTTAGACTGCTATGGTAGTCCTGATGCCCACCTGTACCAGTGCCAGCACAGGGCAGTGATCAACAGAGTGCATTTGGGTGAGGGGCAGGCAACCAGGCCGAGGAAAGGCTATCTGTCCTCCATCCTGTTAGGGCCAAGCAAGTGAAGAGAAGCCAATGGTAACATGAGGGCATACATGTTGGGGTGCTTTGAGATTCATGGATAATTTCCTTCACCAAATGTTTTTACAGGGGCTAAATAACAAGACAGGTATGGGACTTTGGGGATTCACCAATTGAAAATGAAAATTTAAAAAGACCAGAAAACAGTGTGTGAGGAAGTGGAGTGGTGGTGTGGGATAAGGAAACCCTCAGATGGGAGAAGATCAGTCAGGCCACAAAGCTAAATTAAAATACAGTGGTGAGGAAAGGGTCACATTCATCTTTTTTCATCTGAGTATGAATTCTGTAAATCAAGGTAGAAGAGTTGGGGAGACTTATGCAAGGGGGTCTGGGGATCAAGAACAGAGTCAGGAAAGAACAGGTCTGGAGGAGGAGGAGGCAGTGGCGGCCAGACTCCCAAGGGATGGGTAGTTATTGGGAGCTTTTATCCTGGTGTTCCGTGGGGCCTAGAATCAGCCAGAGGCAGGGCAGTGTGCTGCTGCTGTCATCAAGCTACTGTCTATTGGCCCCTAAACCAGGTCAGTGATGACAATGGGAAACCAAGAGTAAAAGAGAAAGAATCAGCAGAACACGGACAGAGAAAGGCTGAGCGAGCTGGTGCTGGGAGGGTGGGAAGTGCTTAAAAGAGCCAGGTTGGAGCTCAGCTTAGGAGTTTCAGCTGTGGAGTTTCAATTAGCAGTCACTCACCCTCAGTTCCTCAGTTCTAAACCTAGACCCAAGAGGCTCCCATTTAAAGAAGACCCAGAAACTGATCCACATTTTACGCTAGGAGCTTTTGATCCAGAAAGCTCCATCCAGTGTGTTGGCCCACCAGGAGAGCACCCACAAGCTCCCTCTTTGCAAGGAATGTGTCCAGGTAGCAGGAGCACCATCTGTATGCAAGGCCATGCTCCAGGCAGGAGTGAGGATTCGGTAGTGAGCACAGATGCTGCTTTCCTGGGGCCTGCATGCCAGGGGCTGGGACAAGCAAGAGAAAATAGTTCTTCCAGTGCATCGTAAAGCCATCCCAGCTCCTCTCCCATCCAGAGAACTTCCACAGGGTTTTTCTCATACCATTTCCTTCCTTGGCTTCCTCAGCACCTGGTACAGGGAACCACCTAAAAAGCGCTTAACCACTTGCTGACTCAATCACTGTTATCCAAGAAATAAATACTACAGCCTAGTGACAAAGACTCTAAAATGCTCTAAAACTAAAAAACCGGCCACCATGAAGAGTTGTTTAACATCAGCAATTATTTCTCCATATTGGTTTTTCCCATTGTTCTGCAAACAGCTCTAGAATAAGCTACAGAGGCCAGCTGTACAGAATCTATTAATTTGAAGCAATCTATAAGGTATATAACACATAGTTGAGTTATATAAAGGTGCTTCCTCTACACCATTTAAATTCCAAATATAAGCTTCCTTATAATGCATCTATTGAAAAAAAAAGTTAGAGAAACCTTAGATCCCAGAAAAATCGTAACAGATCAGCTCTACTGAGATATCCCAGGTAGCTTTAAACACATGAACACTTCTTTGGAAGGGTCTGCTTTGTTATAATACAATCTGTGCCAGTTTAAAGTACTACAGTCACAACACCAAGATGATAGAAAGCATTTTTCCATATTGCCCAGTGACGATGAAAAAAAGCAACATACCTTATCTCACCAGAGCAATAGCTCAAGAAACACCTTAGACTCTGCCTTGCTCCCTCCTAACCCTGTAACACAAGAAGACCCAAGAAACGTAAGCACAACAACACAAGTTTAACTCAATCCATGCAACAAATCTTGGGCTCCCACAACTTCTCTTAGTAATGCAAAATGGTTGAACACATCCCATCAGAGCTCTCAGGCTGCCTTTCTTTACTGGCTGACTATAGGAACACACATAACAAAGATGAAAAATGAAGTCAAGGTATCAAAGCAGTTCAAAAGAGTTAAAATGCAGTTTTCCAATTTTGTAGTAAACATGCCCAGTACAGTACTGTGAAAGCAAGGGCTCCGTAAGTGCACTTTTAAGTTCTCTTTTTTGCGGAGCTGCTTCTCAGACTTTCAGAATAGGAGAGGTTCTCTGTTCTCTCATGGGCAGAGATGTTCATAGTATACCCAGTCTTTGAACTTTGTTGGATGTAGGTTAAGTGTGGGGATGGGGTTGGAGGGGAAGCTATAAGTCATCATGAGCACTTGGTAACTCAACAGTAGAGCTGAAGACACCAAGTGGGGGAGAGAGAGCTTCACTAAGTCATGCTCTTTCTGACAAACTGGCCAAGAGCCAAGTCTTTTCCGTCACAGCAAGACAAACTTAATCTCTAGATACAAGGTAGGTATTGTGGGAGAAACTCAGCATACAGGGTGGGGCTGTTCAATCTATGAGCACACACTAAAGTTACTCACAAAAGTAGGGACCTTTCTTTCAGGAACAATTTAGAGGTCTCTGAGCAAAAAGCTTTGTTTAAACTTTGATGTTATAGGACACCCCTTGCAGTACCTGAACAATGACATACAGTATATCAAAATCTTCTTTCTAAAAGCTCCTTATTGAGAATAGATGTAGTTCAAGGGTCTGGGTATAACGTAATCGATAAGGTTTTAGCTATCTGAAGTAAACTAAGTGATTCCAGGAATTCCAAATTTTCCATCTACACAAACAAGAATGTCAAAGGACAGACCCACTTGCTGGTCCAGCTCACACCATTCCCTGAAAGGGAGAGAAAAGTCAGCATTCTTTAGTCCCCACCCCACGCCCTCCCACCGCAGGGTCTAATGTGGCAGGTCTCAATCCCTCAGTAATAACTCTGGAATTTAAGGCACAGTACAATTCTTGGTGAGCTCTCCTACACCCTCACGGCTTCCCGGCTTGCTTCCTGGCTTGCTGTCTTGCCAAGTTACTACCGTTGAAAGGTAGTAACTTTCAACAATGGCCACAACACACACACACACGGCAACTAGTCCTCTACTTTAGGAGGATTTAATCATTTTAACTTTATTTTTATAAAGTTAAAATTTTATTTCATTTAATAATTTTAACTACCATAACAAATATCGTGAATATTTTATACTTCCATAAAAAAACTAAAAATGAAGCAGGTCCCACGTAAAACTAGGAATTGGTAAGGGCCCTGCAGAAGGCTTCCTGCACACACAGAGGGAGAGGAAGAGGACTGAGGTCCCCAGCTCTCATAGTAGGTTCTCCTGAAGTCTTTGGCAGGAGGCCTCCCTTACTTGGGGGTAGCCCGCCCACCGCTCTGTGTTTAGGGGTACAGGCTACTAACTGGTACTCTTCAGGGTCCTCGGCCTCCTCCGACGTCCCTCCCACCCCGATCGCTCCTCCCTCCCCGATCGCCATCTACACGCAAGGAGTCCTAGGACTGCGACACTGGCGGGGCAGCCGCGCCTCTAGGCCACCAGCCGCACCGCTATCCGAGTCAACTGACTCTCGTCATGGCTTTCAGCCCACGCGGTAAGTAACTCTCATTCCCCAAAGGGGAGGAACCAGGTTTCACAGACACCGTATTGTCGAGAAGTTTCCGAGACGCGCAGCGCACAGGTCACTCGCTAGGATCACTTTGCTGCTCGCGGTGCCCACAGTCGAGTGTGAGTCCAACGAGAGTTAAGGATCTCCGCCACTCCCCTTAAAACCCAGGCCGTGACACTAAGCCTAGGAAGCGCCCCTTGGCCTCCGCCGCCAGGCGCCAGCGCCACACCGCTGCGTCTCCTCCTGCGCCTGCTGAAACCGCAGGATTCGAATTCGCCCTCCGCCGGCCAGCAAAGGAGTGCGTGGCGCGGGAGCGCAGCGGCGAGCCTGGAGAGCACAAGCAAGGAAAGGGTGGCAGAGGGGCGGGAGCTGCGGGGGGCGGGGGGGCGAAGGGGGGGTGGACGCTGTCTGATCCGGAGAAGGAACTGAAGGCGACCATCACTCACTCTTCGACCGCCCGGCCTGCGCGCAACCCGCCGGACAAGCCGAGCAGGAACTCGCTGAAGTTTGCCAAAGCCCGGCCGCAGCTCTGAAAAGTTGTAGTTCCATCCCGGAGCCTTTCTTCTGGCCCTTTGGGGCAGGGTGTGTAAGGGGCTAAGGTGTGTCGCAAGAGTAGGAGGGTCCTGGCACCTGTCCGCACCTCCCCTCCGGCCCCCGAGCTCTCCACCACGCTCGGCAAAAACCTGAGCACCGTTCAAAAGTGACAGCTATCTGAAGGCAGAGTGCGCTGCCATCGGGACCGCCGCAGCATCCTCATACCTTTAGAGGAGGGGGTCTAAAGGCCTCACCTGAGCAGTGGAAGAGGAGACAACAGAGGCAGGTCCTTGGCGTGGGCAGCCCCCAGCAGGAGCGGCGCGGTCACGACAGCCCCCAGGCAGCTGCACCGAATGAGCCGTCCAGCCGCCGCCCCCTCCGATCTTATTCGGCCTGACCACGCCCCCGCCCGCCGCCCCCGCCCCTGCCCCCGCCCTGAGGCCGGCCCTCCCGAGGGAGCAGGGCAGAGGGGCGGAGCCAGCCCCTCGGGATCCTTCCGCCTGGGCGCTGACGGCGGGGCTAGCGCGAACGCGGCCCTCTGATTGGCTGCTCTGGTGAATGGTTGCTGAGAGACGAGTAAATCTTCGGCGGCACGAAGGGGCGGGGGGGGTGGGTGCGCGAGGAGGTGCACTGCGCAGGCGCAATAGAGAGGGGCTGTGTCTACGCCGCCTTAACTTCGGAGTTAGCGGACACCTTTCTTCCTACTTTTCCCTTCACTCCTTTCTACCTTTCCTATCCTATAACTTTCCCCCCAGACTTTTCCCATATCTCTCCTACTTCCTTGAAATCCCATTTTCTTCCTGCCTCTGGAAATGTTCTCGCTGATTCTTCCTGGCTCCAGGAGTGGGAAGAGGGGGGAGGTATGGAAAACGCCCACACCTACTCAGGCAGATAAAAACTTAAGGTTTTTGAGGCACCGGAATCTTTCTGATTCCCCAAACAAATTGGAGGTGAAATCATTGTCCTGGGTTCTTCGGCTGCAGTGACCACCTGTGTGCAGTTAATGGGACTGAGGGCTTCAGGGAATCCAGCAGCAATCCTGGCAAGCACAGCAGTGTTAGCCTTTCTCAAAATGCCTCTGGACTTAGTCGTGGGTTATGTAACGTGCAGGCGGGGCCTGGACACCGCAGTCCGTGGTAGATGGCCGAAGTCCTGAATTCGACTAACTCGAGTTGAGGTCTCTATTTACCACAACTATATGTAAGTCCTTGGGCAGTTAACCAACCCTCCAGAAAATGGGACTGCTTTGTAGGGTTACAGGTTAAGTAAGAAAATATGTAGGAAGTTTTTAATTAGTGCAGTACTTGATATAAAGTGTGTGGTAAGTGCTATTATGTCAAATAGACATCGTTATTTATCAATAACATTTACTGTTTGTTTTGATCCTTACTGGGGGCTGAGGGAAAGATTGAACTTCTGGATTGCAGTATTTCTCGCTCCCCCCACCCCCTTCCATCCCTGCCTGAGGTAAATGTGCTTCTGGGTGTCTACCAGGCTATGAACAGTTCCCCATCTATGCCTTCTCCGTTCAGGGGGAGGGGAGTTTCCAAAACTTTTTAATGGGATAGGACATCAGTATGAGGCTTCTAGGGAAACCTACAGTGACCCTATTGCTGGATACAGTCAGGATATATGGCCGATTTTTTCCTTTTTGTTACATTGAGGTATAACGTTCAGTGAAGTGCACAGATCTGTAGTGTGTAGAATGATGAATTTTTACATTTGTACACACATGTAACTGCCACCCAGAACAAGCTATCAAACACTTCACGCCCCTTACACACAGTACCCCACAAAGGTAACCACTCTTCAGGCCTCTGTTACCAGAAATCTGTTATATCAGTGTTTGAACTGGCTTTGCTGTCTGTCTGTCTTCTCTGGTCCAACTGTATGTTTGTGAGATTCATCCATGTTGTGTGTAACAATGGATCATTCTTTTTCACTAATGTCTATTACTTCATTATGTAACTATACAACAATGTATGTATTCATTCTACTGTTTGGTAGACATTTGAATTGATTTCATGGATGAAGCTGCTGGAAATAATAGTGTTTTTGGTAGACATAGCACTCATTTGTGTCAGGTATATACCCAGGATCAGAATTTCTGGTTCATAGAGTATACACCTATTAAGTTTTAAATGTACTTCCAGTGTTCCAAGTGGCATGACAATAGTAACCAAACAAAAAAATAAAATTTAAACAAAAAAAAAACCCCAGTAAATAGATAATGGGGGGCAGGGACTAGTTACACCACACCAGCCTGATAAATTATTTAAAGGAAAAAGTGGTATAACAATTTATGTTACAACCAGTGATATGAGATTTCTGGTTGAACCACACCTTTGCCTTATTGGTATCAGGACTTTTTTTTTGTTTGTTTTTAAATTAGGATGTGTGTTTCATTATGATTTGAATGTTCATTTCTCTGATAATGTGTAATTTTCACATGCTTATTGGCCATTTTGATAGCCTTTTTGTGACATGACTGTCCAAGTGTTTTGGCCATCTGTGGAGAATTCTGTCTTGATCTATATATAGGTGTTCTTTATATATTCTGTTTTTGAGCTCTTTGTCAAGTATATGAATTATGATATTTTTCTACCAATCGTGGCTTGTGTTTTTATAATTTAATGTTATTTTTGATGAACAGAAATTCTTAATTTTAGGTCAGTCTAACTTATTAATCTTATCTTTTATAACCCAGGTTTTTATGTTCTGTTTAAGAAACCTCTGCCTGTCTGAAGGCCATTACAGAGGTGATAGCCTTTGTTTTCCAAGGATTTTACTTTCACTATCTGTAAAACCTTGCACTAGTAACTTAGCCATTTATCCATAAACTTCCAATTTCAATAAAATTCATGCAAGTTATTACCTTACCCTTTGGACTTGTCTTCTTTTTGATGTCTCATGGACACCATTAGCACAGATAACCTTAAGGTAGAACACAAGACACAAATTCTTAACCTAAACTTTAATCTGTTTGGTTCTGTACTGGCTTAGGTGAAATTTTGTTCAACTTTCTGAATAAAATAAGGCAACTCTATGGTAGGGAGGAGGGGAGAGCCCAGAACCAGACCAAAAAAATCATTATATTCATATGTGTATATTTTGTTTGCCTTAGGCCCTCTTTTGTTCCTGGGGCATTATGAGACTTTTTTAAGAATTTTGTTTCAGCTTTTGTTTTTTTAATACACCGCGTTCTTTCTACCCCATGAAACCGTGGCACCCTGGGGTTGGAAGGAGTCTCAGGACGTCGCCAGGTCCTGCCTGTTGGACATGGAACCCGATATTGAAACTGTCCTTCCAAGATTATTGGGGCCTCCTTGCCAATTCCAGCTTCTGCTGGAGCGTAGCCAATCAAAATGGTTTAAAGACCTTTCTTGCATTCGGAGTAATTTGCTGATTTATACCTAGGAAAGCTGAGGGAGGGAAAAAACAGAGAGACAAAAGAGTCTTTAAAATGCAAGTGTGCCTCACTTGTAACCATGACCCCGAAAGAATTTTATGTCTCAATAGAACCTTATTTTAAGTACTCCAGTGACGCACAGACATTCTACCATTAGTCCTTTTGTCAGTCAAGAAAGACTTTTGTAAATGCTCACTTATCCTCTGATTTATCAGTTTCTTAAGCCTTGAATTTTTATATCAGTTTTTCTTAAA